AAGATTGAAAAACAATATATATGGGCCCCTTCTATTTAATGATTACGGATATTTGGGATTTGAATTAAACTTAAAGAAAATACAAACTAGTTATAATTACGGGAAAAATATTTCTGCAGTTACTGCAGAAAAGTTATCTGCATTTATTTTTAAAACGATGTCGTTTTGCTATTGAAATATTAAAAAATTATAGATATAAAAACAATTATAATCCTGAAATAAATTAAAATTACAAAAATACCATGATTTCCGCCCAAAATGACGTGTATTGACTTACTGCAGATAACTTATCTGCAGTAACTGCAGAAAAAGCGAACCCTATAATTACACAGCATATACACTGCACAACTATAATTTGCACCGACATCAACACAAGATATAATACGATATGACATTTTAATATGTTAGTTTTAGAAAATATTAAATTTTGATACGTTAGGACATGTTTTGATATTAAATACTATTTTTAATTTATGTAATGTATATTGTATTTAATATTCAATAAATTAACAAAAAAATGAAACTAAACTTATAATATCCATCAATTGTACAAAGAAACATAAGATGTAAATATGTATAAAAAAAAAAACATAAGATGTAAATATTTACTATTATATTTTCAAATTGAAAATCTCTTATACACTTCAGCAAGATTAATTCGGTATTCATTTTTAATTTCTATTATATCAGTTTGATAAAATATCAATTAATTTTTTTATGATATGTAATAAAATTTCAAATATTATAGATGTTAAAGCGTGTCAAAGTGCCAAAAAGTGTCGAAGTGTCACAGAATATCAGACATGACACTTTAAATTTTTTGAAGTGTCGGTGCAAGATAGTTACATTATACATAATCCTATTTGTCTTCATAGAAACAAATCGTTTTGGAAAATATCTTTAGCAATCCGTAATATCAAACCATTTAGTGCATTTATTCTACACACTCTTTTATGATTAATACCATCCGAGTCCCAATTTTTGTTTTTTACTATTGCAGCCAAACAAAGACGATTCAAAGCACCCTGCAGTTGAGGGCGAGGCTGAAATATTATAGACATTACTAATTTAACAATAAGATACAGGTACAGCAGCAGTGAAAAAAAGTGCATTAGTCATTCACTTGGCTCTTCAGTATTCCGCCGTAAAATACCTACCAAGACCCACAGGCTCATTCTATTCTATGACATGTATTTTACCCACAAGTCTATCCCAACTCTACATTTCCAAATTGGTTGCAACTTCCTCAAATCAAATTTGTCAAACAAATCAATTGCACGTACCTTAAGAACGAAGGAAAAAAACTTTACGGACGGTTAACAGTCAAAACACGGATCTTTATGACACCTGGTAAGTTCATATACGTACGAGCTTTGGCCTTAGAAGAACGAAGGAAAAGAAATCAATGCCATTAGATAGCTTTACTTAAAGATTTTCGCATATAATATACAATAAAAATCAGGATATGGACCTAGCTAGGCTACATTTCGGGTCATCCATTTTATTTATTATTTATTATTATTGTTTACTTTGTCACGAGTCGACCCTGCATTTCCAAGTCTTTGAGTTCATTAAAAGATTTGATGTTTTTCATACCGTAGGAAATATGTGAAATCCATGTGAAGTTATATTAAGAGAAAAGAGAAATAAAAAATATGAGTCTTATACACTTTTATATGTATATAAAAGATAAAATTATCTCATAGAGAAATATTAATTCCTTCGTTTAATTGTATAAAAGAAGAGTACAGCTCAAGTTCAAGCATGTTTCACAGTTTAATAAGGACAAAAGCCCGCATGCATATATGGTGCGTACCCCTAACTAGAGTTAAAGAATACCCTCATTCCTTGTTTGATCATGAAATTCCACTCTCTCTCGCGCTCGCCCCCACACAGTGACAAGAGGAAACAATTTAAAAGGATAAATTAATTCTATATTTAAGGGCTAGATTATAATTTTGCTTAAATAACAAAAATAACAAAAGTGGGTTTGTCTCGGCATTATGGGGGAGATGGAGACCTTAGTCAACTCCTACAACGGGACAAGATATGCGCTAGAGATATATATCTTGCTTTAATTTGTAACCTAATGTTTGCAAATAAATACATAAGGATAAAAGAATTTGAAAATATTATGAAATATAGCATAGTGTGTTTTACATAGAGTACAGACAGGAACTACATAGTATATTACAAATGCCAAAAATTTCCCCTGGACGCTGGCGACTATGTTGCCTATCAGGTTGCCATGCTTTTCGCTTCCGCTTTCTCTCTATCTTTCAACACAAGCAAATTCCATGACTAAGGTCATGTTTTCCTGCCACAACAATACCAAAACAACATCGATTTGTGGTTTAAAAAAAAGGGCAATGCTTTTCTCATGCTATTGGAGAGGAGGAAATCTCCTACACACTCAAATTCATGATGAGACCCACACATAAAAAATAAAGAAAACAAAAAAAATTATTGTACGCAAAACGAACTCTCACTAACATGAGAAGAGAGCTCTCCTACAACATAAGAATTCTTTTTCCCTTAAAAAATACATGTAAAAGCATTTTGAGAATTTCATATTACAATAGACAAGCAAAATATTAAAAAGCTCCATGCATGTATTTTTCCCCTAAACCCCATTTCGATGTTATTTTGGACTACACGATATAATCCTAATAAATAATACCGAAACATGAAAAACACTAAACCCTTCGTTATATATATAGAGTTTTATAAGAGTTATGTTGTAGGAAAAGTGATTGTGTAATGTTATAGAGATTCGTTTTGCGTGCCGAAATTTTCTTTTTTCCTTTTTTCTTTAAAAAGTGTGGGCCCCACAAAATGTTGTATGTGTAGGAAAGTTTGTTGTGTCATGTTAAATGACAAATGCAAACCCCATATATAGATAGGGTTTGTTTCTTCTGATGTTACTTTAGATAACTTTATGTAATGTTCATCAAAACGACGTCGTTTTGGGACAGAATTCATGGTATTTTTGTAATTTTAATTTATTTTAGGGTTATAATAGCTTTTATCACTCTAATTTTTTAATTTTTCAACCCCAAAACGACGTCGTTTGGATGAACATTAGATAAAGTTATCTAAAGTAACATCGGAAACTTTTTTCCCATATATATATATACACTTTGTTGGAAGTAATGAGTTTGAGAGAAAAAAATTTAGAAGTGCTTGAAGTATTACACCAAGAGACATTAAGTTTGGAATGCTCAACAATATTACCTCCCGCTTAAGAAACTCTAGAGATAATGCAAGCTATTGCGCTCCAATCCATATGGACCCAAATAATCATGCTTTCACCTATTGAGTTTGTATGTGAACATAATATTGAATTATATTATTAATATATCCAACACACTTTTTACCAAGTAAATTAATATGTGTTCATGTTCTTTATCAACTTCTTATACTCATCACATTAAGCAGTTAGCACTTAACAATATGAACTTTATATTGTGAGTATTTGCAGATCATTAATTGAGTTCGTCAATTGCATATATATGTACTTGTGTGTGCATGTAAAATATTTAACTCTGGTTTTTAGTTACTGAAATGTATAGTTGATCATGGTAATGATGTAGATACCCAAGCAATTATTTAATGTGGAAATCATAGCCAATAAGAAAGGAGGAAAAAAAGAAGAAGGAAGAATTCAAGGACAGGGATTTGTGGAAATTGGTCAGGGAGAAGAGGAACGGTCTTCCTTGAAATAATCCATTTTTATAATTCAGTGGTTGGCGCCCTAGGGAGCCCCATCTTCATGTGTTCTTTGTTCTTTCCTCATATATTCCTATTCCTCGTGCATTTTGACTTTTTGGTTGCCCTCACTTCTACACAACGGGGTCCACAATATATATATATTACGTGGCTGATCCTCATTTGTTATTTTATAAATCATATTACGTAGAAAAAAGGGCCCACTACATCACGTGTGCATGATTGACTCCCTTGAATGTTACTTCTTGTGTTGGCTCTGAAATCCATACGAGTTCTATGTTATATGCGCCTACCAAGAAAATAATAAATGCAAAAAAATATGACTATATATGTGACTGATTTATTAAGGGAAGAGTAAATAATCACCGTTCAATAACTTTACACATTTATTATCTTTCTTTATCTTTTTTAGGTATTTCTCTTTAAGCAGTTGTTTTTCTTAGGTTAGATAAGATAAAACAGTTTTTCTACACAAATAAATCTTATGTGGAATTTATTTTAATTTTTTTTCCTATTCTCTCTCCTCTCTCTCTTTCTTTTGTGAGTGTAGGAACATTGTTCTTATCTTATGCAAAACAAGAAAAATAAATCCCTTCTCTTTGTATCATCATCTTTGTACAGCAGTCAGCAAAGAATATTATTCATTTATTACCAAACATAAAATGGTAATAATATTGCTGATGACATATATATATATATATATATATATATATATATATATATAGTGGCGAGGTCAAGATCGTCATTCTAATTCAAGTTGCTAGCTATCTTTCTTGGTAAGTACAGCTTGCTCTGGTCTATGCAACTTGAAGGTGAAGACCCACATTTGGTGGAAGCTTCAGAAACACACTCTTCGTTTTTCTTCGTTACCTTTGTACTTAAATTCCCTAACTTGTCATGCATGGTGTGATTAGTAGTAATTAGAAAGCTCCCTCCCTACCTTTAATATATCTTTTTTATCCGTTCATATTTTGCAGTATCCCTCAAGTCAGTGTTTCGTTTCAAAGTGAATGATATAACTCATATAAAGCATCAAAACCTAAATTGAAAGAAGAGTTTTGTCTCTTGTCTCTCCATGCAAGTAAGCAACTGCTTAACTAATTTGTATCTTTACGTACAGATCATAATTGTCAAGGAATTTTCTTCCTCTATTAGAAGAAGAAAGTCTTTTGTAATTAGAAAAAGAAGAGAGATGAAATATTGAACTTTCTTCAACGTTTTGTATAGCTTTTATCTAAGAAGTCTATCATGTCACTTTTTGTGTGCTACAGAAGGAAAAGGAAGCAATTACCAAGGAGGGAACAACGGATATAGAGATGGAAGGAACTCGTGGAAAGGAGGAAACCTTACCACCGGGTTTTCGATTTCATCCTACAGATGAAGAACTCATCACTTGCTATCTCATAAATAAGATATCGGATTCTAGTTTTACAGGCAAAGCAATAACTGATGTAGATCTCAACAAATGTGAGCCATGGGAGCTGCCAGGTACATATAGTTTTTATCTAAGACCTTCTCTTCTGTTTTAATTAAGATCGGTTCGTTTATGCATGCGTACTTTATGGTTGCAAATATTGTTCATTAATTTGATTTTGCGATTTTCTTTACTCATACATAGTCATATTTAACATTTAGAATTAGGTCCATCACATTATATATGTTATTTGTCTAGTATATCATTTATATGTTTTTAATTTCTTATTTTCATCATGTTTACTTTAGATAATTTTCACTTCAAAAGCATTTTGTTGAAGGAAACAAAAATTTCTTTTTATTTTCAACGCCCGTTAGCGTTTGATAAACTTAAAACAAGCATGGTGTTAGTCTTTAGATACATGCTATTTTTAAGATATAGTCAGCAACTATCTAGGGTTTCTTCATAATATATATACACACACGGTTATATTATCCTTTATTTTGGGGGGGCAATTGATTGTTGATGCAATTATTCCAATTAATTCCATTATATTGTATATATACAACACACTAATATAATAAGGTAGACCTTTGTCTTTTTTATGATATGGATAAGATTTACGCGCTATATATAATTTGATGCATCCTTCATTATTTTCTAACAAAATACAGCAAAAGTATCTCACCCAATACATTATTGATGTTTGTTTTTTTCCAATAATTTTTTATGAAATAGGGAAGGCGAAGATGGGAGAAAAAGAATGGTACTTCTTCAGTCTCAGAGATCGTAAATACCCCACTGGTGTGAGAACTAATCGAGCAACGAACACCGGGTACTGGAAGACCACAGGGAAAGACAAGGAGATCCTCAATAGTGTTACATCGGAGTTGGTAGGTATGAAAAAGACTTTGGTTTTCTACAAAGGAAGAGCTCCAAGAGGAGAGAAAAGTAACTGGGTCATGCATGAATACCGCATTCACTCAAAATCCAGCTTCAGAACTAGCAAGGTATATAGACATATACGTCAATATATATAATAAAATCCCTTTTAGCTTCTTCAACTAATTATAATTAACCTAGGAACAATTAATATCCTCATAATATGTAGCCAAAAAATAAATAAAAACATAAGAATTGGGTAACCATTTTAAATGGAGTTATAAATTCTTACTCAACATTAAAAAAAAAAAAAAAAAAAAACTAACTAATATAACACCATCCACTAGGGTTAGCCCAGTGGTGTGGTGTGTGTGTTAGGTGTGTGTAGTATAATGTGTGTAGTGTTTGATTTCCATTGTTAGAGAATATATAAATCATTAAAAAGACCCTCACCCAACACCTTAAGATTTTAGGTTGAATTGGTTCTTAACATGTCTGATATCATGTTAAGAACCAATTCAATCCAAAACCTTAAGGTGTTGGGTAATGACTTTTTTTACGATTTATCTATTCTCTAACACCCATTGTAATCCAAAAAAAAAAAAACTAATATAACAACCATTGTGATATATACAGCAGGATGAATGGGTGGTTTGCAGGGTATTCCAGAAGAGTGCTGGAGCAAAAAAGTACCCTTCTTCCAACCATACAAGAGCAGTGAATCCTTATAGCTTGGAAATAGGTCCTAATATTGTGCCACCTCCAATGATGCAATTAGGAGATCATGCTGCTCATTTCCTTTATGGAAGGAATTACATGAGCAATGCAGAGGTAGCCGAAGTTGCTAGGGTTTTGAGAGGAGGTGGATCCACCAGTAATGTCAACCTACCAATGCTATCCCACTTGAACTACCCTGCATCTGCAGCAGGAGGAGGATTCACCATTTCAGGGCTTAATTTGAATCTTGGAGGAGGAGGAGGAGGAGCAACATCACAACCCATTTTGCGGCCAATGCAACCTTTGTCACATCATGCTCAGACAATGGCTCATGTACATGATGTCAGTTCCAACATGATGACAGCTAGTTCTCTTGGTGCAGAGAATGTAGGTTATGTTACAGAAATGAGCAATGCAAATCCTCATGGTAATAGGTATATGGGCATGGACCATTGCATGGATCTAGATAATTACTGGCCTTCCTACTAAATTAGGAGGACCTTCATACTTAGTATATTAGACTTAATCTAGTACTATAACTTTAGTTGGATAAGCTACCATAAAAGTTCTTCTTTTTCTTGTGTTTTCTTAGTTTGATGCGGGTAAATAACCTGCAGTATCCAAGTTATCTTGAGCCCTTTGCACCTATTGTTTGTCGATTGCGTACTATCTTTTCTTGATTGAGAATCACGATATATCATGGTCATGATTGCATTTTCCTTGTCCCTGATTATTTGCATGTTATTGCGTTTCATTGTTTTCTTTCTTAATGCTAATTGGGACTTGCTAACGTTGATTAGATTAAAAGAGATTTGATTAATTATTTGTGTGTTCTTTGTACTATTTTCACACCATTTTATTTTTTGTTGAGAATTGGTTGAATAACGATACGATATATACAGTAGACCCACAAGCGATGAAAATGCAAAATAATGTAAAAAAAAAAAAAAAAAGTTGCTCTTTCAGTTAGAATAAGCTCACCCATTGTTTTCTGATATCGTTTTTTTATTTTTGGTGGATTGATATCGTTTTAAGATGGTAAGAGACTGTCTAAACATATATATTTATAAAAACATCGAAATTATTATCATTTTAATAAATATATATATTTTAAAGGGAAAGGCATGAAAAAATATAGGCATAATATCCTATTCCTATTTTAAAATAAATTATTGTCAATTTAAAATTAAAAATTATTTTATGAATATGTATAATATCGGTAAGTTATATATATTTTAATCATGACATTTTAAATTGATAAATAAATTATAGGTAAGTGAAGAATTAGTGCAACTCTTTAATATTATTAATAAAAGTTTATCATATTAAATATTTATTATATATTCAAAAATAAAAAATGTATATAACATGAATAATTCACACATATTGTAGAGATCTATTATTCTACGTAATTAGCTAGACTTGTGTTTAGTGATTGTACACGAGCAACTATAGCCCCGAGTATTGAGTACTGGATACCATCGAATAAGTAGGGAATGAATTGTTAAAATATCATATATGTGATGTGAAATTTTTGTATATATATTTTTCTTCGTTAATGATATAATTAACCCTCTCTATTTAATACGTGTAAAGAGAAAATTAAATACAAAAATTTCAAATAATTAGATCATGTAAAATTTTACCCTGAGAAGATTCATTCCCATTTTTCCATCTATTGTTTTACACACGAAAACTAATGAAATAGTGGTGAAAAGCTGTCACTTAAAGAACTTAATTTCAAGACCATTTTTAAGAAATAAACACTGACCGACATCAATTACACTGTAGCCAGTGCGATGCGCGCAGCTGGTTCAACGGTTCAAAAATCAGGTTTTAAATTGCTGATGTAATATGTTTGATTGGATTGGCCAATTAACCAATTTACACTTAAACTAGCTCCAGGGACAGTGACCAAAATGTCACGCTTTAGCAAAAAAATTACTAGAATACCATGCGAACAATAAAATTTTCCAAACTGACACGCGTCATAATTCGCTACACAGTGTAGCGAATTATGTATGCAAGTAATTCGCTACGTGGCAGAATGCACAGAACCAAAAAGTGTCATGTGTCATAATGTTAAAATTCGCTACATAGGATAGCGAATTTCAACAATTTTGACACATGACAATTTTTGGTTCTGACGTGACATATTTCGCTACACAGTATAGCGAATTATGCCGCGTGGCAGTTTGGAAAATTTTACTGTTCACGTAGTATTCTGATAATTTTTTTGTCAAAACGTGACAAAATGATCACTCTCCCACCAACTAGTCCCTATTTCAGGACTACTAAATTATTTGGTTGCTTGTACCCTCTGGCTTGCTGGTGAAATTTTTATCATCTTTAAGGATGCTCGCTCCTCTTGGTCTGGGTGCTTTGTTGGCCCATGACTCTTGGGGCCTTGCCCCTCCATTGCACTATAAAAAATAAAAAATAAGAAGATTATTTTGTTGCTCTTAAACCGCCACCAATTCTTATGGTGGAACTCTTTTATTAGATAATATAAAATCTGACTTGTTACTCATACAATTTTTTTTTTTAAATTCTATCATGATCGTAATTATTCTTTTGGGGAAAGTCAGATTTTCTAATATCCCTACAATTTAAATAAGGAAAAAGGTCGGGGCGAGGGATTAGTCTCATGGCTGTGAGAATATCAGAATGTAATCCAAAAAAAAAATTAAGAAAAAAGGTGTGGTGTAAATCTAGAGAAAAAGATTTGTCCTTTAGAAAGATATTACTTTTAAATTTTAATACTATGTATTATAAGTAGTATGTAGTTATAATATGAAAAAAAAAAAAAAAATCTCTTCTCAGTCATTTCAACTGACATGTAAAGTGTAAAAAAGTAAATTTTTATATTATAACTATGTACTACTCATAATATATAGTATTAAAAATTAAAAGAATATAATTAAGTCCTTTTAAACTACACACAGTAAACCCATAAACTCAAACCCCTACTCTTTGGCAGTTTATTCATATGGGATTTATATGGCTAGTTGAGCCAACCCTCGGATTGTTACTCATACAAAATTGTTGCTTTAAGATATTTTTACTTTCCGCGGAAGTTATAAGGGAAAAAATAACGTACTCATGGACAAATTTTGTTTGTTTTTTGTTTTTAGAAACTTTAGTTTTAGCGTCGTGGACATAGCTCGTTCTAGAGACATTCTTGGTAATAGGCAGTATTATGCAGCAATTAAATGACCTTCCGGGCGATATTAGGAACAGGCAGCCATAAGTCGAAAAGGTTCTAAGGTACACATGGCCCACCAAGGTGTCATAGATTCTGTCAATACGGTAACAATCACATGGAGAAGGAGAACCCTATCTATGCTCAATCCGAAATTTTTTAATATGTTCCAAGATTATTGTGATTCTTTCATTCAAAATTTGATAAGTATATTAAATTTTTTCTTTCTTTTTTCTCTCTCTTCAATCTTTTCTCTCTTTCTCTCACCTCAGTCTCATTCAATTTATTTTGCTCGCAAACCCCAGTAACTTCACTCGCTCAATCCAAGTCTTGTGCATAGTGTAAATAGTTGAGACGTAGGACCACAGTACCAACCTACTGGCATAATATATTTAATAAAATAGAAAACCTTATAAAAAGTCTATTTAGAACCCATATAATTTTATAGTAGTCATATATTATATTATTTATTTTAATTATATATTAAATAAATATTTAAAAATTATAATTAATAAAATAATATTATTTTATTTATTTTTTCTAATTCCTGATAGGTATTGAAAATTTGATAAGCTTAAATAGATGAGAGATTTAGGCCAATCTTTATTTTTTTTTAACATAGATCAGACCACACCTATAATCCTATATTTTAGTTTACATTAGGTTAACTCAAAATATTTTACATATATTTAATTTATTTATACCAAAACTGACCCAAACTATTTACACTCAGTGAAAAAAAAATTACTCATGTTCTAGTACTGAATCAGTAATGACCTTTGAAGTTTCTTTCCAAACTGTCTAATATTGAAAGATGAACATTAAAAGGTAAGTTTCATGAGGTGACGTGCACGAGCGGGTTTGCCCAAACCAGTCTTTCAACGCGCCTGCTAAGCAACTAACCTCATGGTAGAATTGAAGAAAGGAGAGGTGAATGGATAATCTAGAGTAAATATCTTTTTGAGTCTCCAACAAAAAATACAGTTCCCATTTTAATTCTTTACAAAAATAAATTAGTCAGTTAGTCTCTAATAAATTTAAAGTGGATCCATATTATTCTTTTTGAGGGACTAATATGGTTCCTTTTTGAATTTGGGAGGGACTACAATTTCAACTAAATAGGTCCACTTTGAATTTGTTAGGAACTAACTGACTAGTTTATTTTTGTAAGAGACTAAAATGAAGACCGTGTTTTTTGTTAAGGACCAAAAAGAATATTTACTCCGTAATCTAATTATCAAAGGAAAGCGCATCAACATGTTCAGCTGACCATAGCCAATATTTCTATGTTCGCCCACACAAAATGGTTGCTTATCTTTTCCCCCCTAGATATCAGCAAACAAATTAGGACCACCAAAATAAATAAATAAAGTTGTAAGTTGTTGGTCAAATAAAATATATTACAGTTTGATCACCAAAATATATATATATAGAGAGAGAGAAAATACTTTCTTATGTTGATGGAGAAAGTATTTCTCATGTCACTCATACATCGATATGTGTGCATTGTTTTTTTATTTTTATTTTTATTTTTATTTCTTAATGGTGGAACCTACCTTAAACATGTGTGTGTAGGAAAATTTCTTTTCTCATGTGAAAGGAGAAAAACAAAGCCCATATATATATTACAGTTTACCGAAGGGTAGCTCAAGAAAGGTTCTCTTTTCTTTATTTTTTTGGTAACAAAAAGTTTAAAAAAAGTTAGACACCAATATTCCACGGACCCAGAGTTTTTTCCTTTTTTTTTTTGATAAATATTACCAACCAATTTTCAATCTTCTTCAGAGACCGATTTAGTATGAGACATTCAGTAAAATGGTAAAATCAATAAGATTGAAGGATGAACTTTAAAAGATAAGAGAGATAAGTCATTTACTCAAATTTTGTGAAATCATTCTGCAGTTAAATGAGGAAACATGTAAAAAAACAAAGATAGATGTGCACTTATTTTCTGTTTATATATTATTCCAAAAGAATTCGCTCAAGGAAAAAAAATTTGAAAAATGAAAACAGAGGATACAACATACAGTTATTTTATTTAAATTAACCCAACCTAATTTTTGAACTGAACCATACTACTGATCTTCATTTTTTCCTCACTAAAATCAAATTGAATCATATAATTAAGAAACGAAACTAAACCAGCGGTTTATCGTTTTTCTAAAGGGAAATACTACTCTCATTTTACATGAGATAGTTATCTCATGTTGTCTCACATCAAAAATATCACCCACTTTTTTTCTTTTTTCTTTTTTATCTTTTAATGATGGGTCCCACATGATTTCTCTCTGTGCTCTCTCATGTAAAATGAGAGTAGCATTCCTCATTTCTAAAACATCGGAAAATCAGTAAAGACATCCCTCACGTAACAATAAGTCACCAAATTAGTTTTGCTATATTATGGATAAACATATACGAACAGAACTATAACGCGATTTTCAAAGCATAGTTCAAGAAACCCAAACAGAACAGAAAAACGTGAAACAATTATTTCCCTCGAAGAATAACCCATGAATTGATTTCTTTTAATAATATAACTTGTAGTTCCACAGACACCAGCAATGGGCAGAACTAGCTCTGATTCTAATAAACATACATGAAGTGGAAACATTTTTACTATGTCAAGAATTTAAAAGGGAAAAAAAAAACCACATAAAAGAGGGAGTCCGAGGTCTAATAACAAATATAACACAGCCATAATACATGAATACCTAAACATATGGTGCCCCCAACCCTACAGTGAAACATCCTTAAGTAACCTCACCCAAAAAAGAGAAGCAAAATATACAAACCCCACAGGAAGGGAAAGATATAGCTTCCAATATACCCATGCGAACAGGAAAAACCATCTGCAAAACACAAACAGTGTGTTTTCAGCATTATATTGAACTATAATTAGCGAACAAAGAGACGTACAAAGCTCAACTGCATAATAAAACAGTAAACCTGTTAACTACATAAGCTCTATTGCAGCATTATTTTGGAAACTGTTTGATACTGGGATTGAACCACCACTTTAACCTACCCTCCCTCTCGCCACAATAGGTCTTAGAACTCCTTTGTAACCCCAAAATAAAAATAAAAATAAAAAACTAATATCCTAAGGAAGGCAGTCTTCTCTTCTACAATGATGTATCCACTAATGTGAAACAAAAAAAACGATAGTCATACATAAATTGGTTTTACTCTTCCAAATGTAATCACATAAATTGACAAAAACCTAGGTATATTCACTACAATAAATTACGCATGCTATGGCACTTAATGTTCTACCCTTATCTTCAAGAACAATAGTATTATACGCCAGCGACTTTTTAAAACTTCACAAAATATAACAGAACAAAATTGGGGAGGAAAAGGTGATACTCATGTTCTTAATGTTAAGAGCCAGGAGAAATATAAACCCCTGCAGACCATAGGGCCGCAATGGGGTGGTATACTCGACTACCGTTAAGATTGCAAGGGGCACCAGGTTTTCGGCTTAAAAGAAGCTTCTTTCCAAACTCATTATTTAGTGAATTACAGGTCCAATTTTTGTTTTCCTCTGAGAAACATGTTTCATTCAAAAATGGGGTTTGTTGCATTTAAGAACAAACAAGGCATTTTGAGGATGTTCAGCTCAACACCAAATTTTTTTTCTCCTTTAGCTCTCTCTCTCTCTCTACATGGTGTAAATGATGTAAATCAAATTTTTCTCACTGAAACGAAAACCAAGGAGTTTATTATATTAACATTTAAAAAGTAAATCCTACCAGAGAAGCACAATAAGTGACACGAGGTTATACTTTAAAGATATCAAATCATGCTTTGCATCATGTATGCCACATATAATAATATAAGATGAAACCAAGCTTCAGTCTTCATATCCATAATAATAAAGGCATCCTGATTCAATAATAGAACAGCATACCTAAATTTCTCTCCCAAAAGACACAAAACAGGAACCAACTTCAAGTTATCTACTTGTCTGGATGCCCCCGTTTAGCTTTTCGACGAGCATGGTGGGTGTTTCCATTTCGAACAGGTTTATTCACCTTTTTGCTGCAGCGGACAATAAAAATGTCTGTAACTAGAAGTTCTATTTAAAAAAAATATAAAAATCTAAATATCCAAGACGACATACAGATTAACAAAAAGAAAATCAGCATATGGATTAAGACATTTAAGACTAACCAGAAAACGGCAGAAAAAGTTCTAGCCAGTAAAATAATAGGTAAGGCCAAAATGGCAGACGCCTGTAAAAGTGAAAATGGACAAAATATTTGTCAAATCACCTAATCACTATGTCAATTTCAGTGATAATAGTCAGGATATAGAAAATCATTTGATGCATACCACAAACCATTCAAACTCTTTAATAGCAAGAGGCCTAGTGAGCTCGTGCTTTCTCAGTGTCTCCTGGACAGTAGCTTGGACCTTGACGACAAAAGAAAATTCAACACTCAAAACAAATTTATTTCCTTCTAATATCAATACCATGCCCTAACTTTCAGCATTTCTTGATTAAACAATAACGAAAATATTTGATAAAAGTCTCTTTAATAGTGTAGCATCAAAGGAAAAAGTGATTCCCGAACCTGGAACTAACATGAATTTCAGTGAATCAGCAGTCCCAAAAATAAAATCCTAGTTTCACATATAACAATATGATAAACAAAGTGGAACTTAAGACGCACTTTTATTAAAATATCTAGGAGATATCGTATAATTTCTTAAAATAAGTTTAGAGTATCTTACATGATCTCTTTGCATTGGTTTCAATATATCTTTATATTTCATGATTTGTATTCTAGTGTTATTTAGTCTCTATTAACTCCTATACTTACAAGGGCGAGTCTTGAGGCAGCAATAAGGTTACTCCTTGAGACTGCCAGGTCATGGGTTTGAGTCTAAGTAACAGCTTCTCTGTAAAAAATGCAATGGTAAAACTGCGCATACAATTAACCCTTACCCCTACCCTGGCAAGTTGGGGAGCCTTATGCATCGGGATTTGCCTTTTATCTCCTTTACTTCCTCCCCTCCATACTTAAATCCCTATAATTCCAACATGGTGTCATAGCAGTAAGTACCATTCTCCACAAACTGTTCGTCACTAATCCGCTACCGAGTTCCCTCTAAAGTTAGAAACTCTACTTCATTTTCATGACTATCAGTTAACTTTTCTGGTGTCGTGTGTCCTTCTAGCAGTCTCACAAATCTTCTCCAGCCAATGCCGCCGCCAGTCGTTGTTCTCTATTTGACGGGTCGTCTTTCCAACAACTTCTCTCACTTGTCCCCAACTGCCCAATATTGTGTGATCCTATCTATCTCCCAGGTCTCCTCAAGCCATTGTCTCTATCACCTGCTGTCGTTGAAAAATTTTCCAACAAACTTTCCGGCATGATCCGAAAATCTTGAGCAACCATCCCCGGCAGCCCATAGTGAGCCACCATCTGACGTGCCGACACACGCCAACTCTATCCTTTGTGACGATTTGCTTCTTCCACTGCCGCACATGGTGACGCATGCAGCTCTGTTTCTAGCCGCGCACTGTCGATCTAGTTCCATCATCTAGCCCTATCGCCGACACACGCCAACTCTATCCTTTGTGACGCTTTGCTTCTTCCACTGCTCACGTCTCTATCCTACATTATTCATTGCACTGTTTGTGGTGGTCATTCACTAGTGTTTTGCTGCTTGGTGTTTGTTCCTTGCCACCTTACATTGGTTTGCAACTACTGATTTGTCCCAATTGCATAATGGCCCCATCGATCCTTGTCCCGGATGCAACTTAGCCTCGCCGGATTATGCCCAAATGCAGTCTGGCAATGTCCACATTGTAGTCTAGCCTCGTCGCTCTTTGTCCCAAATATAGCATTGACAGACGTAGCATTGCCCCGTTTGTCTATATCCCAAATATGCAATCTGACTCGATCTTTCTCCCAAATTATATTGTTTGGTTTTTCGTTTTTAAAGGGTTCATTTGTAACAAGCTTAAAGCTCAAGGAGGAATGTTAGAATATCTAGAAGATACCGTATAATATCTTAAAATAAGTTTAGAGTATCTTAGATGACCTCTTGGGATTAGTTTCCATATTTCCTTATATTTCATGATTTGTTTCATTATTTTAGGAGTCTATTATTAGTAGTTTAGTATTTTGTAGTATAGATATCTATTATCGCCTTTTCTTCCTTCCCTCTATACCTATATTCCTATAATTTCAATAATTTTTAACCAATTCTACCTTCACCAACATCAAATTATGGTCTCCAAACTCCAAAGTAAGAAGTTCTACCATGTAGCAGTCAATAAAACAGCATATCATGAGCAGAAGCCCAGAATGCTCCCCAAAATGAATAAATACATAAATATGGTGTGCAACAATATCAACTTGGCTTTGACTATATTTCTTTTTTCTTTGGACTAATTGTAGTGATGGCCAGCTTTAACTTTCAAAAGACAGACTGAAAACCAAAGTTTATATTTCAATTATCTGATATACAGATACAGTATGCAATAGGCAATACATGTAAAGTTTGATACAAGTATTGATTTCAGCAAAAAATAATGGCAATACAAAAGGATTTGCAGAATTTTTCCATAGCTTTACAAAAGAAGCATGAAACCTGGCCATGATATGTAGTGGCTGATTCCAAGAACTTCCCATAAGCATGAACAGCCTTCTTTGTGTAGGGCTTCAAAACCACTTGTACTTTATCAACATGTGGTTTAGCTGCAATAGCAACCTGATCAATGTATGGCTTGCTAAATTTTCTAGCTTCCTGCCAACCATAGACAATACTTTAAGAAACACATCAGCAGGGCAAACACACCATAAGGATGACGTAGCATATACCTGATAATAAGGATCTACAAATTCTTTGGCCTTGCTTAAGTGGGGAGCAATTGCATTCTTGGATGCCTCGTAAACTTCAACAGTCTTCGTAGACAATAATTGCATGTGAGGTTCAGCATTTGTTTTCACCGTAGACCACTGTTCTTTCACAGCTGGGATCAATTTCTTCGAGTGAAAACCAAGAAAGAGTGAGAAAGAATGTAATTTAATTTGCCTGGGTATTTAACAAACCAAGAGATTCTTACAAACAAGGAAACCCACAAATGGATACCAAATTATCAGGATTAGGCTAAATCAAACATTACGTAGTAAATCCATATAGGGCATGGCACTTTAAAATTGCATGCCTTTAGGTCATCATTCCCACATCAAAAGAAGCATCTCCAAATATAACAGATCAAAAATCCGAAAGATATAAATGGAGGGCTTACAGTTTTAATTGTTTCCACATGAGGTTCAGCCCACTTCCCCGCTTGTGCCGTTTTCTCTACGGCCTACAAGAATAAATAGGAAAGACATTAAAAGAAAAGTAGGACTTGTTGTAGAGATGAAGAAAAATATTAAACCTGGGATCTATAAATAATTAAAATGTTAGAAAAATAACAGATCAAAAAGACTGATAGCCAAAATAAAAACCTAAATAGTACCTTCTGAGTAATCCCTTCCCAAGCAGGTTTCCCATGTTTATTCCAATGAGTCTCAACAAAAGACTACCAAATAAAATTATCAGAACTTGTGAAGAAAGCTATTCTAACAAACATCACTAGGGATACAATATAAACTCACCTTACTACGACTATAGTGTACATCAAGCCAACATGGAAGCCAAGCAGAATGAGCCTGATCATTAACAACAGAATGATCAATTAAATACACAAGATTATAATTGTTCATATAATCACAATTTCATAAGAGAATGAAATAATTTTAGAAATCTTTCATTAGTATTGTAGCTATAGGTAGCTGCTGCTTACAAATACCGTGTTTCAGATTAGGTTTAATCAGTAAGTAGTAACCACTTGATCGATTAGAAATAGTTTTACCAATCATTCCTTTCTGGTAATTTTCCTCACAATATAACCACTTGATCAAGAGCCCAAACATATGATTCTCATTATCTCCATACATTAGTAATCAATCATTAAATTTTCAAGTTGATATTATACTCCCTTCTCAATAACCACCACAAAAATCACCTAAACTCTTCAGGCTCTTAAATACCGCACTTAATCCTTCATCACTTTCTAATCCCATATTCCTAATATTAAATACTTCGTACAAGTTAAATTTCCCCCAAAATAAATCCAGAAATTACTACAACAGACAAGAATGGTTCAAGCAGTAAGTAGTCATCTGTCATCTATGTCACTGCCATGGTTGTTAAAATCTCATTTCAAAACCTAAAATTCTACAACTTTACAATTTGAAAACTAAAAAACTTGTTAGGTGAAACATAAAAAATAAATCTGGTAAAATCATTCCAGAATGTATTTCAAAACATTAAATTGCAAAAACCCAATTTCACTAACGATTTTACATTTCCACATTTACAGGAACTTGGGCTGCGTTTTTCTAAGTTATGAATCTTAAACTGGATTTGAAAAGGCCCAAACTGGTTTGGCAATTCTTTAAAGCAACATCAAAATCTGTGATACAAGTTCAAGTCTTCTTACAATCTCTCACCCTTGCTGTCAATGTGTCTGACTCTGAAATTTTAAGGTTGTGTTGAGTTCCAAGCTAGTTTGAGTTTGAGGGTCTCACATTAATTTGAGCTTTGTTTGGTCCCTTGCTAGCATTTGCTGTGTTTTGGATTAAAATTTTGGGATGTCAAGTGGTACTGGTATTAGTAGTTCTCTCCAATCTACCCAAAATCAAAAGATCAAATGGAGTATGAGTTATTATAGCTTTCAGTTACTATATTATGAAATATGAACTTATGGACTCTTTGTTAATTAAGTACTTAAATTAAGTTGGAATTATATATATTTTTAAAAATAATATTTCATATAGTATGTATCATGTACACTTTTACATTTTGCTGTCACTTGACCCTCCAGTGTTTTTTTGGTGAAAGAAAACTCATTTTTGCGAACCTTGACCACTGCCACCATGTTTATCACAGACTGGGCCTAAAAGCACCACACTAAGGACTGAGTGATGCCATCCGATAAGTAATGATTTATTTTCTTGCAATTTTTGTCATGATGTTGACATTTCCAAAAACAACCGACATTAGAGCTACCTAGGTGAACTATTCACACTCATGCAAGGTTTCCAGCATCTATCTATATGAACAAAAATATGACAGGAGTTTCAGATTGAAGGCACACAGCTGGTAATTAAGCTGGACTACTTTGGATTTGGAGGATTTCAACTGGCCATCAAAATTTACATACATGTAAGAAATACAACATGGTTTAGGTAGTCAACTTAATTATTACCTCCGTCAGCTCTCTTGCTTTGGAAGTCGCCTCAAACTTCGCCTTCATCATTTCTTCCTAAACAAGAACATTAAGCGAAAAACATGAGACTTCCATCAAAATCATCACCAAGCATCCTACACAACAGACAAGAAAATCTATGCACTCACATACCTCAGCAACTTTAAGAGCACGTTCAGTTTTACGAATTTTTTTCTTCTGTTCCTCATTTATCTTTTGAATCTGTGGAGAATGCACTACTCAAGTCACCATATCATCCTCAAAGAGATTATGTTTTTAAAATCAGAAATTTAAATTGGCATTAGTAAAGGACTCCAGGTAACTACTTTTGAAAAATAAACAATAACATCTTGATTTTAATTTTAATTTTGTAAGTAATTGGGCTCAATAGCAGTAATGATATATTTTCATTGATCTATAATGAAAGTAGGATCATCCTAAAGACAACAGAAATAGATATTGTACCTACCAACGAAACAATAACAGCTAATGATAATGCTGTAGTAATATGCAATACAGAAGAAGAGGGTGGCATGTAAAGCCATTTCTAACCCGAAAACATGCACCAGTCATAAAAAGAATAGTAAATTCAAGATATGCACCAATAAAAAACTCCAAGGTGCTACTGAGTTATGAAGTATTCTAAGCATAGTTGTCAGCAGCAGTTAGCGGCCGGTAGCGGCCGACCCCGAAAATGGTATAGCGGTGTAGCGGGTAGCGGTATTGCCGCTACGGTGAAGTATTAATTCCACATATATTATACTAACAGTCAAGAAACAAGGCAATACCGCTTTTTGTATTAATTCTCAAACATAAGAAGTCACACAAAATCAAACACATAATTCTACAATCAATGTCAAATACAAGGAACACAAAGGAAGGATCCAAAACTAAACACAAATGAACAATAAAATTGTCAAATAGTCAAGTACAAGAAGTGAACTAATGAAGAAAATCATCATCATCTCCGGATTCTCCATCAAATTCCAACATGGGAATGGTGTAGCGGTGCAGCGGGTAGCGATATTGCCGCTACGGCCAATGTCGCGTAGCGTCGCGATTTGTAGCGGCCGACCGCCACTACCCGCTACGGTAGCTGTTTAGCGGCGCTACGGGACGCTATTGACAACCTAGATTCTAAGACCTACAGAAGAATGCAACAAAAGCAAATCCATGGAAGAAATCTTTATTTTTATATGCCACCAATGTATGTCCATAATTCACCTAAAATGTGGTTGCAATAGCCATTGTTAGAGAAATATAAAAACCATTAATGCAATCTCACCCAATAGCTTAAAAACATTTGGGTTGAATTGGTTCTTTATATGGTATAAGAGCCAACATGACTAAGTGGTCATGAGTTCAATTCTCACCACCCCTATTCTATTAATAAAAATAATTAAATATTATGGAGTATCATAGCATAGGTAGGCTGAGCCTGATGCATCATCCACTCTTCAAGCCCAATGGGCTCTCGTGTGAATGGACGTATTAAAGAAATATAAAAACCATTAATGTAGCTTCATCCAATAGCTTAAACATTTAGGTTGAATTGGTTCTTTGCAGCCATAAACTCACACAAACCATAATACCATATTACAATGCAGCAAGGACATAAACCCAAGAATGACCAGACCAACTAGAGTGGACCTCCACTCAGTGTTTTAAAACTCCGACCAGTCATCGACTCGGTCGAGGTACTGAGTTACCAGGTCATTGGTTCAACCGGATTTACTGTTCACATATTAAAAAAATATAAATATATTACTTATACTACAAATTCACATAAGAAAATTATCGATGAGCTTCAAAAAATAAATTGGTTCTCAATGATAGCAAATATTATATACTTCTAGGCTTCTAGCTCTAGACCATATCCTAACATTGGATTAAAATTGCAATGTAAGCTAAATGCACCTTTTGTGCCTTGACATCACACAGATAAATTAAATTATGATAACAAAAGGTAGCATAAATATACACTAAGGAGAAAGTGTCCAACGTTGAAAAGAGACCATCGGTGTTTATCTCCACTTAACTTCGTGTAATCATTATAAGATGCAACTAAATTACACAAAAGAACTGCATTAATCCAAAATATCTTCTTATTTTCACCTTACTTTTTAATCATATTTACCACAAAATATGAGCATGATTTAGTTCAAGAGTTCTCAACAACCCAAAAAAAAAAGATTTACCAAAAAAAGGTCAACCGAGTCACCAAGTCGCCGAGTCTCGACCGGATCAACTGGTCCAAACCGAACTGACTGCAGAACCGGTCCAAATAGACGCTCGGATTGGGGAGCCCACCGGGCCACCGAGAAGAGCAATAATACAGAATGCACAATAATACAGAATACACCGGGCCACCAAATAGACTGCAGAACTGGTTTTTAAAACACTGCCACCACTACAACCTAGAAGAGCAACTATATAGAACAACTGTAGTTTTACTCATGTCTCATGATTCTTTACATAATCCATAATACTATGCTACAGAATGCACAATAAACTTCTGAATCACTAGATTCGATGATTCATTAAGACCATCAGCATGCCATCATGCCCTGTCATAGCCCGAATTAGTCATCATCAACTCGGCAATAATACCAATAGTTTATTACTATCACTAAACCATGTGGTGCCACCTATGTAAAAAACCCTTTTTTCCCGTCTTACAAGGTTTCCCAACACCGTTAGCATGTGAGACTAATCCTTGCTCGGGATACTAAGGCTGCCCCTCCATACAAGAGATCTCCCACAGGCTCAAATCCTAGTTTTGCATAAGTCCCTCAATTATCGAACTCAAGCTTGTTCCCCACTTGAGTCCTACTCTAAGTGAAAAACCCTAGCTACTTCAATGACGTTTTTAAGGAATAAATTTAACATATATGAAGTGGTAGTTCGAGTAGATAAGTAAAGGTGGACAGGACTACACATACAAAAAGTTAGTAACGAAGGATCTTTTGAGCATGGTGAATATTTCAGCAGATACCACCAAGAAAGGAGGGGAAAAGAGAGTAAGATGTTGAAAGCAAATAATAAATATTGAAAAAAAAAAGAGAAAGAAAGAAGAGGAAATGCCCTTCCATCATGAACATTGAACATGCCAAGATGCAGAGAGTATTCTTATAACAGAACAATTTTATCACTAGGCATGCCATTTTACAAAAATAAGTGAAATTAAAAGGAAAATATAAGTCGGCACAAGTATTTTTGAAAAAGAACAAATACACATAAAATTAATATTTTTGCAACAATGACTGTATGTATATATGTATGTGCGCATGTAAGTACTACTTCCAAAGACAACATACTTGGGATGTAATTAAAGCAGGATTTAAACAATCTAGCCAAATGTAAAACTTACATCCTCTAATTTTAAGTTCAAGTCTTGAATCTTTTTCTCTAACTCGGCTGTCCGTGTTTCCCAGTTCACTTTCTCTTTGTTTTGTGTTTCTAGTTCCCTTTTAAGCTTGTCCACCTGCATAAAGAACTTCAGAGTATGCACGAAAGAATTTTTATTATTTACATGATACATCCACTATTCATACATAACCTGATTTTGTAGTTCACCAGCATGTGCATGAGCCTTTACAACCTGCTCCTCGGCATCCAAAGACCCTTTTTTCTGAGAAGGAAAAATTATTTTCAAAGGTTATTAAAAATACAATCTAAAAGAAATAACAAATGACACTGAGTACATGATTCCAACTCTCTTAAATTTTCAGAAAGCTCCAAGAACAATAAAAGTATAGAAATGACATTTACTATCCTTAATCAAATTATATGAAGAAAAACAACAACCAATATTTCCTATGGAAAAAAAAAATGAAAACCAATAACATAATGAGGAAATTTTGTCAAACAGGTCTAGTCCCGTGTCACCTCACCTGGAGAGAAGCAACCTCATTCTGCAAGGACTGAACGGTACTCAATCTCTCTTGAATGATTTTTTCCTTTTCTGCTATTAATTCGTCCTTCTTCTTCACTTCTTGGGACTTTTCACTGATTTGAGATTCTTCAAAACAAAATTAAGCACGGCATGTATTAGACTTAAAAAGAAATCATCAAAAACCACCACAAGTCCAGATAAAAAGTAAATAAATAAACCAAAAAAGGAAATAAGAAAAAGAAGAAAAAAATGTGACTTGTATGAGTACATCGGTCCCTCCAATTACAAATGATTAGCCAATATGCGAAAAGGTGACTTGTATGGAGATCAATCAACAAATATCCACGTCTGACTCTGTCGCCGACAACATAACTAAACTCCACGAAATGATTTTTAAACACAACATTTTCCTCAGTAATTACAACTAATTGCAAATGCAAACACGACAAATACAACAACTCATAATTACAGCACGGTATTAAATAAAAAAAATATCAATCGTAAACTTGGTCATTTTACGTAACTGAACAGTGTAACTACTAAAATTAAAATCTAAGGAATCGAAAGGAAACAAACAAAATAACAAATAATAAGGACTTTGTTTTGCATAGAATAGGAAAACAAACCAAGAATTTGGATCTTAGAGTTGAGTTGATCTAATTGGATCTTGATAGCGGAGGAATCAGGTTGTTGAGCGTGTGCTTCGATGGAAACATCGGCTTCGGCACCAACGAGGGAGAAAATTAGGGTTACAAAAAGCGCAAAGACGAAAAGCTTCGGAGGCGCCATCGCAACGCAGATTTGCTTTGCCGCCAACAAAGCTTCGGAGAAAGAAAAGACGTTCGTTCTCCCCTATTCTCATATTTATAATACCATCGTCGTGTAAGCGAAGGGTACAAGGAAGGAAGATCTTTTTCTTTTCTTTTTTCCTTATCTTATTAATTTTTAAAATTGATCAATGACATTATGGATTTGCTTTAAAATCAGTGACTTTTTTCAAATGGAAAAAATGTTTATCGTTTTAAATAACACAACTTATATCATTTTACTCTTATAAAGAGGTGTGACTCACACTTTTATTTTATTTTTTGTCCATTCTCTCTTTCTCTTTATCTATCTCTTTCTTTCACTTAAAATGACATAATTTATATTCTTTAAAATGACACAAACTTTATCATTTTTTTAATCACCTATACTTATATACTTTATAAAAATTAAAAAATCATAGAAGTATATGTTATAAAAAATATATTCTTTTGCACAAAGATATAGATGATTCTAAAATAAATCAAGGGAGCGTTAGGTACATGAGAAAAAAAATTTAATCGGGAATCTCAATTTTCAAAAATATGAATTTTATACACAATTTATGATAATATTCACAAATTTAAAATTTAGAAAAATTCAATTTCCGAGATTCTGGAAGAATTCCGACCAAATGCCCCCAAGTGTATTTCGGCTTTTCCTAAAAGAAATACAATTAAAAAATAGAAACAGAACGTGGCAGTTTTATGTGCGTGCTAAAGAGAATCTAATCTAAAAATAAAGTGTGATCTAAACATGTGGCAAGCGAGGGCCAATCAATGCTAATCAATTATTAATAATCGAAAAAATGAAGGATTACTAATAAAAGAAAATAATCTCAATAATATTGATGGAAGAAAGTTAAATGGCTTTTGATGTTTGTCCTTTAGACGATATGGAATGAAAATTATTGGAGAGAAACTGAGTGATTTTTTTATTTAAATTTAAAAAAATATTATTTTGTGTCTATTTTTTTCTAAAAATAACATAATTTCATATTATTTAAAATAACAAATAATTTTTTCTAATTAAATACTATTAAATCTTTTTCAAATAGTTAAAACAATTTATATTTATCTTTATAAAATAGAAAATATTATATGTTTTAATAAAATAAACACTTTTTTGTACCTATTTGAAGAAAAGAAAAGAGTGAAAATGAGAGATGTGGTTGAGTAGCTGTGTTGGGGGTAGGTGACTGATGACCATGGGTGCCACCGAGGAAGATTTGTAATAAATTGACAGCGACCAGAAAAAGTAGTTGAGGATTTGAAATTATGATATGAAAAAGGGAAAAAAAAAATAAACAAAAATGCTTTGAAAAAAAAAATAACCAGGTTGCCAATGTTCATGTTAGTGGATTAATTTATTGAATTTTATTAATCTCATGTTAAAGGAGATAAGATATTTTATATTATAGAGATAAATTTGTGAGTTTCATCACCTAAAAAAAAAGATGGTACAATTATTGAATGATGTGTAGGAAAAAAATTTATCACATATAACGCAAGAGTAGTTTTTCCTAATTGAGGTCAATTAACGTTGTTGATTAATGTTTATTTATTAAACAGAAGACATTTCGCGGCAGAAATGGTAGGTGTCATCGTGTAAGTGTAAAGAAAGAAAAAGTGAAAACGGAAAATTCAATGGGTGTTCGTGTGAGCTTCTTCGTATTTATTCTATAATTAATCACGAATGATGAGTTAACAAATGTCTAAAACAAATCAACTGAAAAATAAATAGATTGACAGCGTCCTTTAAGGGGAAAATTCATATAGGGAATTGAGAAAAATACTGTCCAAAACAATGTTCATAGAAAAATACACCACAAAACGTGAAAACGAAAAAAAAGAAAACTTTCTTGAGTAGATTAAAAATCAATCAATAATGAATATATTATTTTATATTAATTATTTTATAAGGTGAATTACATTATTTTTTCTGAGATTTCTTAATTATACTGACATCTTTCTTATTTTCAAAAATTACACTTCCTTTTTTCTGAAAGGTTAATGCATGCTCCGCTTTAATTTATTTTAATATGACTTTCAATGTCATCGACGATTTGAGTTTTTACTCTTAACTTAGAGATTTCAAAAGTTGAAATGAGATTTTTGAATGAAGTTACAAAACGCTCAAAACCTCATTTCATTTTCTAAAATCTCAAAGTTAACAATTGGGTGTTGAAAACTAGACGAAATGATACTGGTAACTCCTTTGATTTAAACAATTACACTCCTTTCTAAAAAAAAAGAGTAACATGGAATTTTAGCCCTTATGAGTAGTTCTCTCTCTACAATGAATCTACCAATTCCAATGTTTTTAGATTTGGATCGGTGGTGGAGTCGATTAAGTAATGAGTTAATGAGTTAGTTGTTTAATTATTGGGTTACTAGTTCATCCGATTGAATTAAATTTATATATTAATATATAATAAATATAATAATAATAGTATGATGACAAGAAAGTTATTTTGATGTAGGAATTGAGCTTACATTAACTTGTTTCAAAGGTGTGGTGCAAATTTAACATATTTTATAATAAAATTTAAAAAATTTATTCAACTCAAAAAGGGTTGGGATCAGACCCAATTTTCAATTCGTTCATTTGTTTCCTTCCAGTTAGATTATAGATCCGACCCAATAATTGAATCAGACCAGTTGAGAGTCTGATTCCTGATTAAAACAGCGAATTCAATCTGGATTTAATATCACTGATCAATTATTTAACTATTATCATTTAATTAAAAATTTTAAAAGATGAATAGGACGTTCAAAACCTGATTTTTTTCAAAAGATGTTAAGTTAACAATAAAATATTCAAAATTAACTGTAATAAGAATTATAGTGAGAGAAAAAATGATTCTGGAAGGCCAATTAACAGTTGTTTATAATCACCAAGAAGCTCATTAACATTAAAATGAATTAAAGTGTAATACATTCTATTTTTCAAACGAGAATATATTATGTTATTTTATTTTAAAAAGGACAATATGATTTAAAAGAAAGTGATTTTACACTATTTGATATTTAAAACAATAACATATTAAATAGTAATTAATTTCATTTATTTTGACAAGTAGCTTTCCTAATTGAAGCCAGGCATGAGACAGCTTAAAGGGATGCGGAGTAGATCAAATACTAATGGGCCGCAGCTGAAGAGTTGGTTCGCAAACTTATTTTGCACAGTGAAAAGATAGGGAGTCTTTTAGGTGGTGTTTGGTTTGGAGATTTTCAAGAAATATCTATGTTTCTCGAGTATGGCTTTTAGAAACACCATGTTTGTTTCAACATATTTTCACCAAAAATCCATCTATGCAATTTGTATAGATTTATGAGAAACATAGATATCCGCACTGTTTAGAAATCCAATTTGAAGGTAGGATTTTTTGGAAAATCGGTTATCTCACTTTTAATGCACTGTTGATCTCATAAAATTACCTAATTTTTCCAGTAAAGTTTTTCCCCACCAAACAACTTTTTTTTACATTTTTCTATCTATCTCATTTTATCTCACTTTCCAATCATTTCTCTATCTATTACATTTTTCTACTATTTCAAAAAAATTTCCTCAACCAAATGTCCCCTTAAATCTCGTGTATGGTGTTTTTGATTTCTTTTTTTCTTTTTTTTTTTGGGTATCGCTTGTTTGTATTATTTTTATTCCATTTAATAAATTTTTGCACATGAATTTGGACATGACACATAGACTTGGTTATTTGGCAATATTATAATAGAAAAAGTAATATGAAATTTCAAAGTTGTTAATTGCGTAGTGAAAAGATAAAAACAAGTGTGTGTGTCTACTTTTATATTTGAGCAAAGTAGAGAGATAAAATTAAGGGGTGTGTTTTTCTCATGTTACATGAGATAACATACTCCTCCTACTCATACATTTTTTTTTTTTTTTTTTGATAACAACCTACTCATACATTAAAAGGTGTGCTAGCATTTATTTATTTTTTTACTTTTTTTTTTAAAAATGGGTCCCACATGCTTTAAGTCTATGGCATGAGATAGCAAATCTCATGCAACATAAGATTTGTATTTCCCTAAAACTAATTGATGAGCATACTAACTAATTCAAACTCCACCTTTTTGTCGGTGGCAGTTTCTAATTTGAGTACGAGTCAAAAAATTAATTTTTTTTTTAAATTTTAGTTAGTTCATATCATAATATATGTAAATTATATTAAATACAGAGTACCTACACTAAGAAGAAGAGTTATAATTTTATTAAATATTTTTTAATTTTACTAAAAATATTTTATTGTTTTATACAACTACAAATTGAACACATAACCTAATAGAACTTACCCAAATCTTTCACCAAAAATATTTTAAGTTTTATATAGGGCTAAATTACAAATTGTAGCCCGGGCCAAATTCAAATTTTAACCCGGGTCAAATTATAATTAATATATAATTATATATAATAAATATAATTTATTAAAATTTAGTCCGGATCGAGGTCACACCCCGCCTATACGTGGCTCCGCCGGTGCTTGTTGTAAACTAGTAATACTAAACAAACAAACAAACAAAAAAAAACTCTATCATTATGCCAAATTAAAAAAAATACAAAAAATTGCCTAATAAGTAAGGGTGTAAATGAGTCAGGCTGGGCTGGGTTTTAACATTTCTGGCCTAAGCCTACGTAAAAAAATATTCAGCCTATCTAGCCTATTGGCTTATTTATGTGCCAAGAAGCTGATCTATTTTTAAAAATTAGAGAGCCCTATATGACCTTGTAGGCCTCCTTAGTGAAATATTTTTAAAAAATTTTAAATTTTTTTTTAACAATTTTTAAAATATTCGCTTGACATTACAAGTCATTAACGTGTTCATAAATTACTGCATTTTTTACACGATATATAAATTTCACTAGTAAGCATTAAAAAATTTACAATAGTAAAAAAAATAACTATAAAAATATACGGAGCAAAGTTTCATTCATGCATGCACTAATACTTCTCATAATTCATAAAAAATGACAAACAAGAAAGAATCAATATAATACCTCAGCTCTATAATGTATATCATATACCCTGAAATAAATATATTATATTTTTTTAAAATAAATTAAATAGGCCAGCCTACAAGGCTTTAGGCCAGGCTTAACAAAATTGACCTGTGACCTACTTGTTAAAAAAACTTTTTTAATAGCCTAAGCCAACTCTACTTTTCAACGTAGGTCGGACTAAACCAGGTTGTAGGTTAGGCCAGGCCAGCCTAGCCTATTTACACCCTTACTAATAAGTATTCTTAGAATAAAAGTGATAAGGGTAATGAATACTTATATTCAAGGAAAAAGAAGGTTAAATTAGAAGGAGATAAATAAGTGCTTTTATTCTCAGGGTGAGTACAGACTAGGGAATTGAAAAAATATGGCAGTTGGTTAAGTTTAAGGGTTTTATAATTCTCATTTAACATGTGAATTCAAATTTTCCTACACACCCTTCGATTTCCGTGCCGACATGAGTCCTACATATAATTTTTTCTAACACATGAGTCCCACATGCTTTTTATCTCTGCAACATGAGAATTGGATTCTCATTTAACATGAGAAAATCAAACCCTTAAGTTTAAATAGCAGAATTGTCCAAATTTTAAGATCTTGTCAAGCAGCCTGGTTTGTTCGGATCAAAACATTTAATCATATTGGGCCCATAGAATAAAATAACGAGATAATTAGAAGTTGACTCGGCCCAAATTAGTCTAGACGAATAGAGCTTATTTTTTTATTTTATTTTTTGGGCCAAGCCAGCCTAAATTACATCTATAATTAGAATGTTCATTTTCTATAATTAGAATGTTCAACTTTCTTACTTCTTACATTACATAGCTTATTTTGAAAGAGAAGCAGCAAATCACTTATCACTCTTTGTGTCTAAGGTAGTAGTGCTACAATACTAATAGTTATGCCTTTAGGGATTGAATCTCGCATCATTGACCTGGAATGCATTAATTTTCCAACTCCATCGAAAATGAATTAAAAATAGTCCACGTGACATTAACAACAATTCATGCAGGAGGAAGGCCAACAAAATCATTGAAAAATAAATTTAAATATTTGTGGGTACAACAATAAAACGCGGTTTCTGCCCATACATTTTTTAAAATATGGTTGCAGTTAAGTATCTTTTTTCACAAGTCTGATTCGATCTAGAGCCCAATGTTATAAATTATTTCTGGCAAGTGTTATGGAGCATTGCAGTGTATTAATAAAGTCAGTGCCTTCAAGGAAGGTACTGCTTACTTTACTTGGAAGGAGACTTAACAAGGCAAGTGGCGATATTATTGTCTTCATAATTTTCTCTTTTCTATTAGTGTTTTAATATAAAATAAAGTTAATATTTATATATGTTGGCGTATTAAAATACATATATAAGTTTATAAATAAACTCAACAGGACTTGAAACAAATGATATTCAAAGGAAGAGAATAACCTTTTCTAGGTAGAAGAAGATCAGCAACACCTTGAGAAGAAGTATCTGGACCAGCTGATATATCATTTACTATAGGAGGGAGAGCATCCCCATTCTACTAGTTAATGATATCATTAACTATACCACTGTGTGTCGAGGACAAGGGCACAGCCCTCTAAACCATTTTGTTGTTTATAGTGCTCAGTAAACTTATCATATCCTTGGATACCACTTTTCATTAAATTCCAACTAGTAAGAGTGGAGGTGAGGATAATTTTTATACACAGTCTTACCTTCACATAATTGTAAAAGGATCATTTTCTGGATTTGAACTCGTGACCTTTAAGTGACAAAGAAACATTTTTCTAGACTTTCTCTCATTGTATCATACCCTTGATATAGTGAACTAAAATTTAGAATAATACCAAATAGTGGTAGCTCAGTTGGTTGCAAAGAAAATGATTAAGTAAAAAGGAAAGGGTCTCGGTTCGATCTCACATGTCACATTTAGGAAGGGTTTAAATATCTTCATCGTTGATTTAACCCGCACTCCGAATTAATCTAATAACCGACTCAAAGAGTCGAAATTTGTGTGAATACCGAGAGATCCAACTAGCCTTAAAAAAATAATCAGAGTTGAGTTAGCTCAAAAAAAAATAAAAAAATTAGAATACATCTAATGTATACATAATGCTTATATCTTATGCCCCCTTAACGCGTTGAATCTGCCTTGGAATTATATAACGCCAATAAGATGCATACAATTATTAGTATTGTTATATAATTGATAATTGCACAGTACAATGGCACTTGAGTGATTTACAATTGAAACAAGGGTGATGTATCATTGATCTAACTATAAAAGAGGTGTCACAATTAAGCACTGTACCAAAATCTAGCAGTTGCTTCCCATTGCTCAGTTGTTTCCTTTCTATACTTTTTTGTCAAAGGCAGAGAGATAAGAAAGTAGTAATCACAAGTCTTCATAACATTCTTTTGTTGGTCTATTGGCTCAAATGGGGATGACAAAAGCATGTTCAAGATTTATTGTGGACTTTTTACAAGCATTCAAATACTCACCACCAAGCTCAATGCCACACCTTGAACACAATCCTCATCCTATATGCGAGCCCAAGAATATGCTCAAACTTGATGACAAGATGGTTCGTGCTCTTGTTACTGTCTTTGGCATGGAAACCAATGGAAGAATCAAGAAAGAAAGTGCTAGGCATGTGGTGGAGAAGCTTGGTTTGATGCATTGTTCTGAGAAGGACAAGCCCTCAGTATTTGAGCTACACGGTGAGGGTGGCTTACAGGAAGATGAAGTGCCTGTAGAAGAGATGCTTGGTGAGTTGGAGGACATGTCAAAGCGCAGCGAGCTATTACGTGAAGCCTTCAAAATCTTTGATGAGGATGGGGATGGATACATTGATGCAATGGAGTTGAAGAGGGTGCTTGATTGCTTGGGTTTGGGCAAAGGTTGGGATATGAGTACAATTGAGAAGATGGTTAAGGTTGTAGATTTGAACTTTGATGGCAAAGTTGATTTTGGTGAGTTTGAGTTGATGATGGGATAGCTGTTTATTCATTGATTTTAGGAATAATTATTGAGCTGCTAATTGTATATTAGTTGATTCCAGCATTGTATGATGAAAATATGAAGATTGTTTTATTTTTCATTATCAGTTTTCTTCATTCTTGATTGCAATTTTGCAGGCCAATCCCATTTACTCTGTTCAGCATACATATATAATATCTACCTTCCTAGAATTCACACATTTTAGTTTGTTCTATTCTATTATACATATATCATTGAGAATTTCAGCTCATGAATAGTTGTTCCACCATTTCTTGGTTATCTAAAGAGGTAATAATTTTAAGCAGTAACATAATTCAATGACCTGGAAGCATATAAATGTGCAAGAATTATGGAGCATCTGTTATCTATAAAAGTCGTATAGCAACAGGTTGTAGATCATCAGTACTTTGATAGGAAGGAAAAAACGGTAATGTATAGACGGCTATCTATACAGATCATTCACGTGCTTACCCAATTAATCATTGAAATATATTTGAGATAATTATATTGATTTTTCTCGAACTTTTAAAAAAAATACTTATCCTTTCTTTTATTTTAGAAATTACATTGACTTTTTTTTTAACATATACTGCTTGTGTATGATGAGACTTAGTTAGTTTGCTATTTATGACGTGTCAATATTAATACAACGTGTCATGTAAGTGAGGTTCAGTTAGTTACATTTCTCACGTGTCGTGAAGTTAGTTAGACTCTTCGCTTTCTGTTTTACATACCAGTGTTTGTATATATACTGATATGCTTCTTCTCAATAGGACTCTCTAGTATTTTTCTTGTATTCATTCTATTTCTTGAATATCTCAAGTATGAAATTCCGCTTAGCACTTCTTCTCTTCATTCTCTATTGTATGATGGTATCAGAGCTCTGCGCAGAGCTCTGATATGCACCTTTGATTCCTAATTCATCTACTCCTGCATGCGTATCGATTTGATCTTGTTGCTGTTAGATCTATTTGATTTTTGCATTTTTCTGCACATGCAAATCGTTTTAATTCTGATGCTGATAGATCTGTTAATTTTTCTTTTGAAAATAAGAAGGTGAATCAGAGTTCTGCACCTACAATGGAGAAAGAAGCAGAAAGGACTCCTTCACATAGGGAAGGTAATCCTGTGAACACTAGTCTTCTTGATTTGCTAGATCCAGGTAGTCCTTATTTCCTCCATCCAAGTGAAAATCCATCGCTTGTTCTTGTGTCTAATCTGATGAACGAGAAGAACTACCATGGCTGGGCCAAGGCAATGACTATGGCTTTGATTTCAAAGAACAAGGTATCATTTGTAAATGGTACAATTTTACCACCGGACACAACAGATCCACGTTTTCCAGTTTGGGAAAGATGCAATACTATGGTCCTTTCGTGGCTGCATCGTTCGATTACAAGTTCTATATCTCAATCCATTTTGTGGATGGATAAAGCATATGATGTGTGGATAGACCTCAAGGAGAGGTTTTCTCAATCTGATATTTTCAGAATATCGGATTTACAGGATGATATCTATCGTCTGCATCAAGGAGATAGTTCCATCTCCGATTATTTTACTAAACTTAAAATTTTTTGGGATGAATTGGAAGCACTGCAGCCAACTCCTACCTGCAAGTGTGTTCATCCATGTTGTTCTATTGCAGTGGAGGTCAAGAACAGTAAGGAAAGAGACTATTCCATTCGTTTTCTCAAGGGACTTAGTGATCAGTTTTCTCATGTACGGTCCCAAATTATGCTAATGGATCCACTTCCCACTATTAACCGAGTTTTTTCATTAGTTGCACAACAGGAAAGGCAATTGCAGATTGAAAGTTCTGGTCCAATTACTCAAGATTCTTCGAGAATTTTCTTTAATTCTGCTGAACAGGCTCAAGATAGAGGACGTGGACAGTATCGTGGAAGAGGAAGAGGATTCAATACAGGTGGAGACATGTTTCGAGAAGCATGGATACCCTCCTGGTTTTAAGCAAAGAAACCCTGCACATAGAACGAATGCAGCTGTGCATGAGGGTGTCAATGCAGCTATGCATGAGGATGCCAATGCAGCTGACACAAAGGAAAGTTTTACTAAGAATCAATATCAGACCATTATGGAGATGATACAGCAGACAATGCAAGTGCAACATACCTTGCCTCCCACTTCTCATGTCAGCAATATGGTTCATACCAATGCATTAAGTGCTGATGGCTATACCTCTGAAGCAAGTAAGTTAGCAAATCAGTGGATCCTGGATACAGGAGCCACTGATCATATTACTTTTAACTTTGCAACTTTATCCTCTATCAAGCATATTGAGCCAATTGCCATATCCTTGCCTAATGGGACAAGAGTCTATTCTCGTATATCTGGTACAGTAAATATTTCTAAGACACTTACATTGACAGATGTTCTGTATGTAAGAGAATTTGGGGTAAACTTGATATCAGTGCATAAGCTGATTCTTGTAACCGGTTGTCATGTGACATTTCAGCCTCAAAATTGCCTCATCCAACATCAACAATCCATGGAGATGATTGGTTCAGCTAATCTGGTGAGAGGATTGTATGTGATACACCAAGACAAATCAAGACATGCTGTGAAGAATGCTGACACAACAAGACATTTGAATTTTTCTGATAGCAGTAGCTTTAGTTTTCAATCTCATGTCAATGATGTTTGGCACTTACGTTTGGGCCATTGCTCCAAAACTGTAATAAAGGCCATGATGTTACAATATCCATTCATTACTTGTAAACATATAGATACCCCTTGTGATGTTTGCCACATAGCTAAACAAAGGAAACTTCCTTTCCCTTTAAGCAATATTGTTTCCAAAAGTGCTTTTGATCTTGTACACATTGATATTTGGGGGCCTTATTCTGTACCCTCTATTCATGGTCATCGTTTTATTCTAACTATTGTTGATGATTGCACAAGGTACACATGGGGCATCCTCATGAAATCTAAGTCTGAAGTGAGACATCATATTTCCTCTTTTGTTAGTCTAATTGAAAATCAATTTCATAAAAGGGTTAAAGCTTTTCGTAGTGACAATGGGAAGGAATTTCTAATGACAGAATTTTTTAGACAAAAGGGCATTGTTCATCAAACTTCTTGCATAGAGACACCTCAACAAAATAGAATTGTAGAGAGAAAACATCAACACTTGCTTAACACTGCTAGGGCTCTTCTTTTTCAAGGAAATCTCCCTATCAGCTTATGGTGTTACTGTATTAGTCATGCTATACACTTGATCAATCGAATTAGTACCCCAAAGCTGAACAATAAGTCCCCATATAAGCTGTTGCACAATACTCCACCAGTCTTAATCCATCTTAAGGCTTTTGGCCGTCTTGCTTTTGCATCCACACTACTAGCAGGACGTTTAAAGTTTGATCCCAGGTCACGCAAGTGTGTTTATATTGGTCACAAGGATGAAACCAAGGGATACATCTTGTACGATCTCTTTTCTAAACAGCTTTTTGTATCTCGAAATGTAATTTTTTATGAAGAACACTTTCCTTTCATGGATAACACAACATCAGAGACTACTGCTCCATGGCCTACTGACCAATGTGCATCTCCCTTTTTCGAGTTTCCTCCTATGCAGCCTTCTATTACTGAACAAGGATTAGACACGACCACGACTACAGCTTCAATTGATGATCATTTAGCAGATTCCAATGATGAGACTCAGTTAGTTTGCCCACATGCTGAGGATGCTGCAATTACAAATAATTCCAATATTAGAAATGCTGAGGGTGCTACAAATACTCATATAGTAGATGATTCCAATCTTAGACGCTCCACACGGGTAAGATGTCTACCCAAACGTTTTTCTGATTTTCATTGCAACTATTCATCTGCTAATGTGCTACCTAGTCTCTCCTCTACTAATCATCCTCTCTCCTCTGTTGTTTCCTATGCAAAATGTTTAATGGAGTACTCTTCCTTCTGTCACAACATTAGCTCATTTGTTGAACCAACAACATATAAACAGACAGCTCAATTCCCTGAGTGGATCACTGCCATGAATGATGAGTTAGAGGCACTAAATCGCAACCAAACTTGGGAGATAGTTTATTTACCAAGAGGGAAGCATCCGATTGGATCCAAATGGGTTTACAAAATAAAACATAACCAAGATGGAACCATTGCCAGATATAAAGCACGCCTAGTTGCTAAAGGGTACAACCAAATGGAAGGAGTGGACTACTTCGAGACTTTCTCACCCGTTGCAAAGCTTACTACAATTCGGTTGCTCCTCTCCATAGCTGTAGCCAAACAGTGGCATTTAGAATAGCTTGACATAAACAATGCCTTCTTGCATGGGGATCTAACTGAGGAAGTGTATATGTCTATTCCACAAGGTGTCACAGTAGATGGCCAACAAAAGGTTTGCAGGCTGAGAAAGTCCCTATATGGGTTGGAATGCTCGCCTAACAATGGAACTCTGCTCTCTTGGGTACTCACAATCTTCCTCTGATCACTCTCTTTTCACTAAAGCCAATGGTGAGTCCTTCACTACTCTTCTGGTCTATGTTGACGATATGGTTCTGGGAGGTAATGACTTAGATGAAATAAAGATGGTTAAGAGTCACTTGCATCATCTGTTCCAGATCAAAGATCTTGGCCCATTAAAGTTTTTTCTTGGCCTTGAAATAGCTCGTTCCAGTAAAGGTATAGTTCTGAATCAACGCAAATATGTCCTCGAATTATTGCAAGACAGTGGACTTCTTGGCACAAAGCCAGTTTCCACTCCCATGCAACCTGGTTTTCGACTATGTCAAAATCAAAGTCCAGTTTGTTCTGAACCAGCAAGATATAGGAGGCTTGTGGGGAGACTTCTCTACCTAACTAATACACGACCCGATATTGCTTTTGTTGTTCAACAATTAAGCCAGTTTGTGGCAAATCCCATGCAAACACACCTTGATGCAGCCTATTGAGTTCTCAAATACTTGAAAGGAGCACCCGGTAAAGGATTGTTCTTCTCTTCTGATAATCCATTGGTTGTTTCTGCATTCTCTGATGCAAATTGGGCAACCTGCCCTGATACTAGAAGGTCCATCACCGGTTTCTGTGTGTTTATTGGATCTTCCCTTGTGTCCTGGAAATCCAAGAAACAAACAACTGAGTCGTTCATCTGCTGAATCCGAATATCGAGCTCTTGCTGCTGCTACATGTGAAATCCAATGGATCATGTATTTACTTCGTGACTTACACATTTCAGTTGCACAACCTTCCATGGTTTATTGTGACAACCAGGCAGCCATCCACTTAGCACACAATCCTTCTTTCCATGAGCGCAGCAAGCATATCGAATTGGATTGTCATGTTACAAGGGAGAAGATTGCAGCTGGCTTGATTCATCTCCTTCGTGTCTCGACCACACAACAGTTAGCCGATGTCTTCACCAAAGCATTACACCCTGCTCCTTTTCATGATTTTCTGGTCAAGCTGGGGCTTCATGACATTCACCTCCCAACTTGAGAGGGGGGGGTGATGAGACTTAGTTAGTTTGCTATTTATGACGTGTCAATATTAATACAATGTGTCATGTAATTAGTGAGGTTCAGTTAGTTACATTTCTCACGTGTCATGAAGTTAGTTAGACTCTTCGCTTTCTGTTTTACATACCAGTGTTTGTATATATACTGATATGCTTCTTCTCAATAGGACTCTCTAGTATTTTTCCTGTATTCATTCTATTTCTTGAATATCTCAAGTATGAAATTCCGCTTAGCACTTCTTCTCTTCATTCTCTATTGTATGAGTGTATAGCACTATAGCTTTCAATACAAATGAAAATATAAAAATAGGGCAGGTTATATTTATAAATTTTTTTGTTTATAAACTCTTACAAACTACACTAAGTACGACCGGTCATATTTTAATTATGCAGTGTACAACCGGTCGTACTTAGTGTAATTTGCAAAAAAAAATTGTAAACGGATCCTATCCCGTAAAAATAAGATAAATGAAGTTTTGAAACAAGAAAAGATATGTATATAGTTTAGATAAACATTATGGATGTCGATATAATTTATTTACAATATGAATCTCCCCAGACATAGTTTGGTGTAACGTTAAGTTACTCTATTTGGCACATGAATTGGTGTAATTGGATCTAAAACAATAATAATAAATAAATATGAAGCAGAGAATATTACCGAGTAGCTGTCGGCACTCAGCATGCCATTGGTTTAATGATGTTAGCAACTATCTTGTTTGATTACAATCATAATACATAAAGAAAAGTAACTCAAGCTAAGGATAATATAAAACGGTGGCAAACTGACCAAGTGGTGTTTCTTGAGGCACTACTCTTGGAAACTTCAGAGTCATAATTTGACAAAAGGCATCACATTAATTAAACTTGGAAACTCCTCATTTTGATTTCTTATGTTTTCATTTTGCATCATATTTTTCTGCAGCCCAACATAACGAAGAAAACTTGCTTTTCTTGGAGCACAGGAATAATTAGTAAAAATATCTTTATTTCTCTGCAAATATATGTATGTTTATATGAAGGGTTTAATGTGTGTTCTTTTAACAGTTATAACTATCTACTATAGGTAGTACATAGTTATAATATTAAAGTTATATTTTTTTCAATATTTATATTAGCAAATAACTTCTAAAGAGAAAAAAAAATACAACTTTAATATTATAACTATATACTACCCCGTAATATGTAATTATAATTGTTAAAAGAACACAACTTTGCCTCCTTTTTAAGGACAAATTTTTTTCCCTTATATAAAAGTATAAACGTGTTCAAACTTGTGACAAACTTGAAAGGGACTATGTAGGAGTAGTTTGGTCTAGGAGGTGTTCCTAGTTTCTTTTTTTGTTTTTCTATTTCATGTTTGCTTTTCAAAAAAAAAGTTTGAAAACTACACCTAATTAAGAAGCCATGCTTCATGTTGTAAATCTCGTCCCCAGAATTAATTAAAAGAGAGATTCTAACTTATCTGGTATCCTCAAGTGATGTGAAATAAAATATGAATAATTTAGTAAGATAATTCATAACATTATCTTTTATAAGTGATTAAATCAGTTGAATAAACGGTTAATAAATTTGTGATTATTATATGTAAACAAGTGATCACTTCAGTTTAAAATTGGTTTTTCTGTTCGTACATCTAAGGATAAGTTAGCATTACCCTAATTAAAAACCAAATCAGAATAGTTAATTGATGTCTGTTGGATGATGTTAGTTTTCTTACAACTACAATCAGATATGGATAAAGCAATCAAGTCCTTTTATACAAAACGGAATACAACAAGAGTAGACACTATTTTAATGGGCATAATATATAACCGAAGAGGAATCAACCTAAGAAAATAATATAACCCACTACTCAAATTAGACAAGACGTTAAATATAAAGTTGAATACTACAAAGTCTAGTCAAGTGAAACCCTTACTGGTGCCATATATACATAGAGCTCATAGCATCATTTAGGACTCCATTATTGACGTCGTTGTGAGGCATATCCAAGTTTCCAAGCCCAATAGCTGAATTCTGTCCAACTGGGACACCACCGTATGAGGCATCATTTCCATGGACAGTGATGGTTGGCGAGACATGTGCCATGCGGCGCAGACCAGTCGTGTTGAGTTCTGGTGGTGTCACTGGTGTGTTCAATTGACACTGAGTCTGAAGAAGCTGGTTGTTTAACGTGGTGAAAGAGCTCCGAGCCACCATATCCTCAGCTAACTTCACCTAAAAGTAGGCACAAATTTCTTCAGGCATCGATAATTAATTTCTGTGCCCATTACGTAGTTGTTATTATCTCTACCTGAAAGAATTAGCTGATCTTAATTCCGAAGTTGTTATTCGTTTTTTCTTCAGTTACCACTCGTTCATTTTTGAATAAAACAAAATTTAAATTTCTCCAACGTGATCGTGATATTTTTGGTAGAACATTATTGGCAGAAGAACCTCATACCTTAGCTCTCAAAGCTTCTACATCTGATTTTAGCACTCGGTTATTCGTATCAGCCTCATGAAATTGTTGACTAGCATAAGTAAACTGCTTGCATAGGTTTGCTTTTTCCACTTTCAGTTTTTCAACCTGACAAAGCAAAATTCAAACGAAAAGAAAATGATTCCTTCTTGTGCATCTTACTAAAGATTTGATGCTTAAATTTCAAAAACAAACAGATTATATTCCAGAACTAGTAACGTTCCCCGCATCTCAATCAACAATAAATAAGAATTATAATATTACTATTGTTACATATTATTCCCCTGTTCTTCTATGCCTCAAAAGTCCACTGAAGAATTAAGCTTTGGCTTCTTCCAACAAAGACTTATCATTTATCAAATACCCTCCACGCACTTCCAAAACATTAGTTACCTGCAACTCAAGTTCAGCCAAATGCTCTTGTTTTCTTCTTCTTGACCTCGTTGCAGACTTCCGATTAGATTCCTTCCTGAAACCATGAAATCGTATAAAATTTTAGGGAGGCTGAAAATAATCTGTGAGTTTTTTTACCCTATTTCAAGTGCTTTAATTTGAGATACCTTCTAAGGCGCTTTATATCAACTGGATTTATGCTCTGTTCACAAGGACCTGCTTCATCATCCTCATCAGATGGCTCAGAGGAACCACTTGTAGCTTCTTTGGTATGATTCTCTCTGCCGTTTGGTTTATTAGCTGACACAGGGCTGCCAACTGGCCAATTTGCAATTCAATCCAAAATGTTAAAACTCCATAAACTATGCTTTTATGAGCTATATATATGTATACTTCTGTGCACCGATGCAAACATAGAGGCGATGCAAACATAGAGGATTAATAATAATAATATGCTTAAGATGAATGGCATTCGACATGCAAGAAATAATAACTATACAATAATATAATAAATAGCCCGCATCATTACCGGTGTCGCAAATCGATGACTGAGAATCAATAGTAGCAGTGACGGTGGAATGCGGAGTGACGTCTTGGGAACAAAGGGTATCTGTTAGTCCACCACAACTTGAAAATAAAGTCGCCGGGTCCTGCAATTACGAACGACTGCATAAGCTTGACATACAAGGATGAGAGATTTCATGTATTTCATTTAACTATTTGAGAATTTCTTGTCCAGTTTAAATTTTAGGGAAAACAGTCATGATCGGTTTAGAAGAAATTGAAGTCCCTAAACCAATTATCTTCGTTTAGGTTTAATTGGATTTGGGCATAATATTTAGCTATCCAGACCTAGATCAGATTAATTTGGATCGTGTAATCGAGTTACACGTTTGCTTGTCTTTTTTCTCAACACAAAGAGGCAACCTTAAAATTTTGTTTTTAACCTCAAAATCAAATCTAAATGGAATTAAAAGCATATTCGTATATTTATCAACAACAACAAAAAAAGCATATTCGTATTTAAATTTTTCTAATGAAGCCAAGGCATCGGGTTAATTTATCTAACCCGCTACTCGAACCGATGACTAATCACTTTAATCAAGTTCTTCTCAGATAAAGCTATTGATCCAACCTACTTAGAAATTTTAAGTTAGGTTGCATCGAGTTGAACGGATCATCAGAACGACATTAGTCCATCAGTACCCTTATTAATTTTGATATATTCTTAGTATAAAACATTTTTAGACTATTACTTAAATTTGCATAAATAACTCGTTTAAATGAGTTTGATTGTGTCTAAACTCATAAGAAAATTTATGACAGTACATCAATATTATTTAATTTTTTTTACCAAGTATACTGAGAGAAAATGAGCGGGGTGAACTGAGATTCCTTTTCCTTCCGCACCAACCAAAGATAGAGTGGTTAATTCATATCGTTGCTTACGAACGACAAAATTCAATTTGATTTCGTTTCATTTCTTACTCTTGAACTTGTGAATGATCAAATATTTCAAGGAGTCATGCGCAAGTTCAACCCAGCAGTATCAAGCTTTTTACCATTATTATAACATATTATCATTAAAGAAGACGGAAAGAGACAACAATTATATAAAAACATTAGCATGTAAATTTATGCAAGACATTTTTAATGTAATATTGACAAAGAAAGATAAATCTAATGGTTTAAAAATAAATATAGGTTTTTATTTATGGAAAACATTATTTATCAACTATATTATACTAATAATTTTTCATAACAATCCACTTAAATAGACAAAGTTGACAGATGTTTAATAAACTTAAAATTTGCATAAATTAAAATTAAAATCATGAAAACTACTCATATTGTTCAATATATGCATATACGTCATACGATACGATAAAGAAAATATTTTCTTGTTGTTCATTGTGTTATCATTTTGTAGAAAACTATTCACACAAATTTCTTTTCCTTTTTAGTTTTTTAATGCGTAGGTGAGGTGATGAGTGACGCTACTTATTAAAAATAATAACAGCGAGCGAAATTTGATTGATACCTCAAGGAAAGTTGTAGCCAGTATTGTTATCTAATCTTAAAACAAATTATACACAATTTCCTTTTATTTCATATTATGCACCATTATTATTATAATTACAAAGTAAATGAATTTAGAAAGAGTAGAGTAGAGTAACTCTGTCGATATGAGTGACGTTTACAATACTTGTCATTTCTTCCTCTCTCTTTTTTTTTTGTCTTTCATACGATTCATGAAAAATAAACTATTAAATGTATCTCTTTTACTATTGAACATTATACTGTATTCTTAAATAATATAGAAGGATAAAAGTTTATAAAATTAGACTTGGAGAACAAAGGTCACGCGTGCAGAGTAAGCAAGAAGATCATGGGTCCCACTCCAAAGCAAGCAAGACAAGAAAAACAGAAAAACAGTACAAAAGGCCCATACCCGTCCCGAAAGTCCAGCGTTCACACAAGTTCTTAACACAACCCAATAATGAAACAGTCCACGTCAGCAAGAGTTGTTCACGAACAACTTGACTGGTACAAATAACGCCTCTTCATTCACCGTTCACCTTCATTTTTTTTTTTCTTTTTTTCTTTTTTGTCGTCTCCAATAAAAATTAATTCAAAAACAAAATTATCATAAAACAGAGCGCAGGTTTCACAAACTTTTCTATTCTAGTCAAAATTATTATTGTTAATACGGTTAAGGAAGCATTGGGCGCGGAGCTGTGTTAATCAGTTAAGTGACTGGGGTTGCCACGTCAAGCAGCGTGCTAGATGACGTGGCAAAATTTGGCTCCACCGTACTTTCAGTTTCAGAGAGAGAAAGAGATAGAGAGAGAGAGAACACTAACCGGTAACAGATTTTGGAAAGGGGCAGAGCAAACGCTTTCCATGAATGCATCGGTTCCGGGGAGACTCTGATACCGAAAATCATAATCGAGATTCAGGAAGTCATAATCGAGATCGGATTCCGTCGATGCCATCCGTTTGAAGTAGCCGCAGTCGGGGAAAACCGACGGCGGTGGTAGAGATTGAGACGCAGCCAGAACGCCGGCTTTTTGGTCGTCAGAGAGAAAGAGAGAACTCTTAACAGTAAGAGAGAGAAAGAGAAGAGGGAAAAGGGAATGAGGGAAGCATCTTCAGTGGTATAAATAGGAGAAGCCGATGCACAACAGGCACATTTTTTTTTTTTTCAAAAAAAAAAAAAGAAAAGAAAAGAAGTGGGCGGCTTAATAAAGTTTTTTTAGCGATTTGAAATGACGAAAGTGACCTAATCCGTCACGTTTAATTACGTGTTGGACCCGTGATGAGGTGAGGAAGAAGAGTTTTCTAGCAAAGCGAATCTGGGAAGCACTGATGAACTGACACGTGTTGAATTATTTTTGTATTTTTTTCTTTTATAACATAACTTTATAATACATATCTTAAACAAATTTGCAAGGAGGAGGGTAATAGAGTGGTAATTGAATAACGGCATGCTCTAAATGTCAGATAGGTTAATCATCACTAATTTATTTTTGTTTTTGTTAAGCAATAATGACAACTTTGTTAGTGGTTGTAAATTTGTTGATTGCTTGTTCTGGCCACTTTTGACTTTCGTTGGCCAAGTGGCGAGGGAATTTTATTCTCTCAAAAACTCCAAAGGACACATTTCTGTTCAAGTTCATCCCCCAACTTGCACTCGCTCTCGTTCAGAACAGGGAGCAGAAAATTAAAGGAAATGCCGAAAATATTATTAGTCATGATACGTATACATAAATAGTTTAGTTAACCACATTCCTTTGTTATTCTTTATTTCATAACAATATAGCTTTAAATTTATGATTAGATATGTCTACAATCCATATGCATATATAACTTATATATTTAATATTTATTAAATGAAATCGCAATTCTCAAAAAATATTAATACAACTGTTATGAATCCGTATAATGGGCCCATTAAGTGGTAAGCTCAACTAGGGGCAATCCAAGATATGGATTGATGTTCATCAATCATACTAATCTTAATGTGTCAGCATAGCTATCCACACTACCTATAGGTAACTTTTATAAATACAAGGGCAAACCCTAAAGGTACAAACATTCTCTCTCTTATTGTTATGCTGTCACTGTGCACACACACCTCATTGGCTAACGCCGTTATAGTATTCTGTGCACAGTAATCTCCTTGACTCAACGGTATCTCCCTCATAGATACATTGGAGAGGGCATCAGATCCAATATTAACGTACTAACCTAGCTGGGCTAGACATCTCTGTCCCAAGGACAGAACAACAACTTACAAAAGTAGGCAAATCTTGTTTGAATTCTATTTTTAAAAATAATTTTTTAGATAAAAAATCTGTTTAATAATACTTATTTTGTAGAAATCGTTTTAAAAATTATATCTATTTTTTCATTTTTAAAATTAAATTTAGAAAATATATTTTAATTGTTTCTATCTTATGTTTTTCCTTTTAACTTGTAAAACAAAACAAAAAAATACTCATTTCATTAACTATTTTAAAAAATAATTTCAAAAATAGAAAAAGAACACAATCAAACATATGCGTAATCTTTTATTCTTTGTTTTCTTAGGAGTGAATCAATAATTATTTAATGAAGCACTCAGTGCCATTTGGAAAGATGTAATGACATTTGAAACCACGATATTTACCACGATTGGCAGTCACAATCTCAATCATGTAGAGAAGTTCACCTTCTCAACCACAAACCAAAAGTGTTGGCGATGCGGTCCAAATTCCAAAACCAACAAAGCCGTGGGAACTTTTACTTTTGCAAAAGCATTTAAAGGCATTTCTGTTCCTTGACGTGACTTATGCAACATGAAGGAATGGAAGGCAAATAGAAAAAGGATAGGAGGGGAGGGACGAGAGGTGTCCAAAGGCGTTAGGGGCAATGTGTGTTTTGAGAAATTAAAAGTGGGTTTCTTAAGGTGTAAGTTCTTGTTAAAGTAATGGAGTTTGATTGGGACAAGCACCGACCAAAGCAAAAAAGTTGGTAATACATATACATGCTTTATGGGTCGTGTTAAGAAAGCAGGTTAACCCTCGCTTTCTCTCTTAGTTTAAAGGTATCTAGCTAGCTTTGCATTATTTGTTTATTTCCAACTTCAACTTTTTCCAGTTATCATCACGCAATACTTAACTTTCTAAACTAGATCACCCAGTGACCTTCCACCTTGAAATAGTTTATGCAAGCGTGACAATATACATAAGGCTTATCATTTATCACACTAATGGCTCTCTACTTTGTCTGAACTTGACATGGAGCATGTCACACGTGTGTTGGTATTTATATTACCTGGCACATTATATTGACGACACGACAAACCCCAGAAGCTTCTAGGCCCATTAATGTGCACCATGCGATGGGTAGACATATACTTACTCTATATGAGCCAACAATTGCTGAAGAGCTTGACTCGCAAGAATAAAAAAACAGTAACAGTGTTATACAAATAGTAAGTGTAATACTATTTGCTATTGATTTTATATACAAATAGTAAGTATAATTATACGTTGTGCGCGTGACCTTCCTATCCAAAACAGCAATCTTACCAATTACCACTGCTTTAAGATTCGTTCTCATAAATTTTAAATACAAAAAAATTATAAATTAAAAGAGAAAAATATTTAAAATTATAAATTAAAATAAATATATAATTAATTTAAGAAAAATTTAAAAAGTATAGATTCAAAGAAAAACTTAAATTATAAAAAATATGCATAATTATTTTAAAAGAATTTGAATTCAAAATTTAAAACTAAGAGAAGTTAAGAATGATATTCATCATTATTTTAGAGAGAGAAAACTAAAAGATTAATTCACCTTCAAAATAATATACTCCAATTTAATGTGTAGAAATGGATAGATTGAAGGAAAAATATTTAAAATTATAAAAAATAATTAATTCGAACAAATTTAATTTTAAAATTTAATTATAATTAAAATAATATGCTTTAATTTATAGAGATAAATTACTTTAAAAAGTTATAAGAGCCAAAGATAGCTTGCTTAAATCTGTTTGTGGAATAACCTAGGCCGCGCCCGTGCCCTTGCCCATAGTCCAATACCCATTGAAGTTAAAACAACAATATACCACACCAAAAAAAAAAAAAAAAACAACAATATATAAAATCTATCACTCTTTGTAAAACTCCAAAATAAATTCTTTTATTTGGTCTTCTCCTGGGTTCTACCTAGTGGGTATCCTCAATTAAAAGTTTAAAACCAAAAAAATAGTATTTTATTTTTATTTTTGAAAATGAAAAATAGTTATATTTATGGGGTAGGTTATATTTATAAACTTTTGTTTACAAACTACGTTATCTTCTCCCAGAAGAACACTAGCTACACTATCTTCTCTCAGAAAAAGATAGTGTAATTTGTAAAAATTTATAACAAAAAATTGTAACCGGATCATTCCCTTATATTTATATGTCAAAATCGTAACCCGCAATCAAGTTATTACTATCCGTGGAGTAAACAATTATTCCTCGTTTTTTTTTTCTTCCTTGTTAGAGCAACGATGAATATGGTTTAACAGCTGCATCTTTGTAAGTAACTGGAATTAGATTTTGGATAGCTCACAATAGGTTATACTCATAGATTCAGTACCAAAAAGAAAGCAGCATCGAGGTTGGCAAAGCTGAGAAAGTATTTGTGATGTGGTTTGAGATGGACTGGGTCACGACCAAATTAAGCAAGAAATGCCCATTATATGCCCAGCCGTCTCCACAGGCTTGATGAGCTTAATTTACCTCGGCCTCTTCATGTTCTGTGATCAAACAACTACTTCAAAAATAGATTGAATAGGCATGTTTTCCAAACCCAGCATCATAGAAACCCACGAAATGAAGGCTATAATGGAATAGGGCTTTCAATTATGTTCATTCCCAATTGAGATCTCCCAACTAATAACTTGTCAGGTTTTTCTTGCGAACAACTTATCTATTGGAAAACGACAATAATTTCACTTGAGATATTTTCTCAGTGTTTGTGAACAAAATAAACCTCCAAAGTCCGAACTTTCTACCAAAAAAATAATAATAATAAAAAACCCTCCAAACTTAATTTTCAAATCAATGCAATTTGATTCATGAGACTAACTCTATTCGAATTCGCATAGTCTACATACGTACTAATGCCTAGAGAATCTGACAACAATCACCCCGGTCAAAGTTCTTAAAGACCTGAGAGTTGAACAGCACATGTATTTTTATGATACCAAGGTTAGGCAAGTGGCAGTTACCACCAAAACCTTTTAAACATTCAACGCCACCACCGGTAGAGGTTTCCCACAATTGAGTTTAACAAAAGAAACGAAACAAATGAAATGCTAGTCATCATTAAGAAGAAAACAGCAAACAAGTAATGTGGCAATGGAGTAAAATGACCAGAGGGCTCATGCCATTATCTTGGCAGACCTAACATAAAGACTGTCCACCACTTTCCCAATATTGGAAATGGTCTCTAAAGTTGCAGGATATATTGCATCAGTCTTAGGATCGTCAAATATGATGAGGCATCCAGCACCTTGATCCAATGTGCCGGCAAACTTCTTGTCCAAAATCATCTGAGACAACTTCCGCTCCACGTGATCAGTGGGAAGTTCAATAAGCTCAGCAATATGTGCAATCTCAACCCTGGAGAATGGCTCAATCAATCTGCAAAGATTCTGCTCAAGAAGGGTATCATACAGGGATGACAGGTGCCTGTGGACAATTGGGTCTTCCTCCAACTGTGCCTTGTAGTCCCGCAAAGCAATTTCAAATAACTTAATGGATCGCTTAGAATGAGCATCAGCAACAGCTTTCATAGCATCCAAGTCAGGACCAACATATTGCAGGCCTGCTTTAGAAGAAATAATTCCACCAACGTCATCTGCTTGATTCACCATGATCTTACACAACAACATATATTTCAGGCTAAAAACAGCCTTGGGGTCTTCAAGTGCATTGAAAGACTCGAAAGCTTCAAAGAAATAGCTGTATGCAGTTTTATAGTCCTTCTCCTCAGCATGAAGTATTCCACTCTGCAAATCTATGGCACCTTGTTGAGCTGGAGGCACATAAATAGCATTTGCAGCTGTTCTTGCAGCCGTGAGGGCAGCTTTTGCCTTTGGA